CGGAATATGAGGTACCACTATTTTGATGGAGTAAGTCATTCTATCCTAAGAGGGTACATTCCATAATCTCGAGTACTTGAGGAAAATAATTTAATTTTAATGATATAATAATTATTTTTTTGCTTAATATACACATTAGTATGTAATGTTCCAATATATGAATTTAACATGATGTAGTCTAAATTCATTTGCTTTTGTTAACAATTCTCTTGTGATGTTGATATATGCTTCTGAATAAATTTTTCCAAAATTTACAGAATTGTCACGATTTATTTTTTATGCTCAAGACAAAAGAATGACTTTATTTATCAATGTTACTTATGTGATTTAGACTCCAGAAAGTTTGTTTCAAAATAGCTATTACTATATAAGCATTGCTCTTTTGTTTTACTTATTTACTATTTCTTAACATTTTAGTATTTTAGACAAAGAAAAATTCATATGACTTGTAATAACACAAGTTGAAGTTTGTATTAGTTTAATTTTTATTATTTATTTAATATCTAATTTTATGAGATAAATATTTTCATTAATGCAAATATATATTTATATTTAGGTAGGTATTTGTATTTAAACTAAAGTATTATATTTGTCACAAATGTATTATCAAGTTAACGAGATCTCTAACTTGAAAATATATTGTTTTAAAATGTTTCGAGTTTTTTTTTTAACAAAAAAAACTCACAATAAATGTGAATATATAAAATGTAGTTGTTCTCTTCACATGTTCATATGACATCTAAACAATTTTAACAATACACATGCAAAGCACATCTGGTTAGATGACAAGAAAAATACAAAACAAATATTGTCTATAAGATAATATTAGTGAGATAAGACTAATTACATGATTGAACCTCATCAAATTGAAATAAATATATACATAATTGCATTTAACTAATAAAATTTTACATTGACCATCTTCATAGGTTTGCGCAAATAAGAGATATATATGACGATCCACATTGAACATTCACAAAATAATCTGCAATATTATTTTATACCAATCTTATTATTCAAATCTTCGCTTAAATAAACAATACTATTTACTATAACATATATTTTTGAATTGGTAATCACGTGCAACGCACGTGTCAGAAAACTAGTACTAGTTTAAAAGCATGAACTCTCTAACTTGAATGTTAAGTTATATAATAACCCTACTTAAAACACCCATCTATTTCTATTTGAATAACATATGTTCTCTTAAAAAGTTGTGACTTTTATGAAGAGTTGTGACTTTTACAAATGACGGTGACTTTTGAGATAAGTTGTGACTTTTCCAAAGAATTTTGACTATTCCGATAAGTTGTGACTTTTGCAAAGGATTGTCACTTTTTTGAAGGGTCATAACTTTTCAGATAAGGCACAATAAGTACATGTTCATACTACCCTTTCTTGGCTAATATTTCAACCATGAAAATTTTCTAATCTTCTACTCTTCTTCTTCTTACACTTTAGTAATTTTCGTGTGATTTATTATTAGGCAAAATGGTCTGGTGGACCCTTGTACTTGTATAAGTTTGTATTGTGAACCCTTCTACTTACCCATTTGTCATCTGGACCCCTGAACCCATCTAAACTCAATATTTTAAACACTTTTTACCCTTTAGTTGTGCGTGTACCACAAGCGCCTGACACGTAATTTTAAAAATAATTATAAAATGACATGTGTATATATATACCACTTTATGTCATCTTGACATTTTTATTATATTTAATTAATATATTTATGATTTTTATTTGCCTTTTGCCACCAAACCCACCACTTTCTCCCACAATCTCATTTCATTTCTCTTTCATCTTCCTTACACATTTTTTTTCAACCTCTTCTACTCTTTTCATTGAAGAAAAAACACCAATCCGTCTTTGTTTTCATCCAAATCGAAGAAGAGAGGTTTGCCGCTTAAGTGTACAGTGTGTCAACGTCGTCCTAGATCAATATATGTGTGTGGCTATATAAACCCACATTTTTTCTTTCTCATTTTTTTCTTCATTCCCACAAAATTGTTTGAGTATTTTTGTTGGTTTTGTTTGATTTTTAATTTATCTATGTAAATTTTGTAACTTATTTTCGTATTTGTATGTTGTTTAGTCTAGATTTCATCTTTTATTTATGTCTATGTTTAACTTTTAGGTTTTTAGTCGATTATACTGATTTTTTGGGGATTCTATTTGTTATGCTTTCAATTACATGTTTCATGATTTCTATTAGATTATAGGATTCTAAGAAAAGCAACTTTCATGATGATGTAAAAAACTACAATAGGATCAACCACAAAATGAAGCAAAGAATTAACTGGAAATGCATAGAAATAAAAGAGGAGTATAACAATGAAAAAAATGGAGAAGAAGTTTGGAGAAAGAAGATCAAAATAGAGGCAAGAAAAAGCTCAAATTTGTCTAATAATGGTGTTAAATGCAAATGGGGAAAAAGATGACTTTATAAAACCCTAATGTGACTATTAGACTCTTTTAACCAGATTTCACGCTCCTCAGGTGTGTGTATCACACTCCCCTTGATTGTGTCTGCCACATAGGACGCCAAGTTAGAAAACGTGTTTAAAATAAATTTGTCTAATAATGGTGTTAAATGCAAATGGGGAAAAAGATGACTTTATAAAACCCTAATGTGACTATTAGACTCTTTTAACCAGATTTCACGCTCCTCAGGTGTGTGTATCACACTCCCCTTGATTGTGTCTGCCACATAGGACGCCAAGTTAGAAAACGTGTTTAAAATGTTGAGTTTAGATGGGCTCAGGGGTCCAGATGACAAATGGGTAAGTAGAAGGATTCACAACACAAACTCATACAAGTACAAGGGTCCACCAGACCCTTTTGCCTTATTATTATTGAATGAGTTTGAAGATCAGTGGAATCTCGGTACCATTATTCTTATGAAATAAATCATTATAGTCTAAGAGGATATACTCCAAACCCACCCTCGACTACTTGAGGAAAATATTTTTTTTATATAATAATAAATTTTAATTTTTTTTCTTAATATATACAATAGGATGTAATGTTTCAATATATGAAGCTAACATGAAATAGTTTAATTCATTTGTTTTTCTAACAATTTCTCCTTTGATATATCTTTTTTAAAATTATTGAAATTCGCATGTGTCAGAGAATTGTCACGAATTGCTTTGTTGATTTTCAAGACATAATAATTACTTTATCTACAATGATATATATATATATGTATGTATTTTAGTCGAAGGAAAATTCATATGGTGTGGGAGGAAGGGGTGCGCGCGTGCGTGCGTGCGTGTCTCATTTGCAAAATATATTTTATATTAAATAATATAGAATAAATGTGCAGCGCACATAAATCTTTGAAGTGCAACGTTGAATTACCATTTTGCCCCTACATTATATTAAAATATAATTAACTATCTAAATAAACAGTAAATTAATTAGAAGTTATTTATTTAAGTAAATGTAGAATTAAGAAGAAATTATGCTATTACACTTTAATTTTTTAGTTATGACATTATAAATTCTCTTAGTTATTACTAATTATTGCAAATGGTATTCACATTATTTTACATTCTTTAGTTATAGCATTATGAATTCTTTTAGTTATTACATTAATTTTTTCTATCTTTCATTTTTTCGTATATTAGTTTTTTAGCTAATAACTTTTCACATTCTTATACTACTCTTATATAATTGATAATACAACATTGTTATTGACCCTTGAATAATCATGCCTAGATGAATGATTGAAAATCTTTTACAAGGATATGAACATATTTGTGTTGGATGTAAGGTAAACAAGTGATTATATATATGATTTCACAAATTGAATATATTTTTTATGTTTAATTCGTATTTTATATACGGGAAAAATAGAAATGGAAAGTAAAATAACTATTTTTGATTTATGTGCACATTCAATGCAAAAGTCAAATATGAGAACCAACAACAAGAACATCATTTATTATGTGTCTTATAAAATAAAAATTATTGTAGAGAAAAATAGCTCTAAAAGATAAAATATAGTTGTTTTCTTCACATGTTCATATGACATCTAAAAAATTAATTCAAATACTTTATCATTTATACTCTTAAGCGTGGAATACACGTGCAACGCACGTCTTCGAGAACTAGTATATGTATTGGCAATGCTGAGTAGTAAAAGTCAAAATTATAAATGTAACGGTTGTAACATTAATTGTATCGATTAACTTTTAGTGTAGAAAATAAATTTGGACACAAATAATAAGTATGCATTTGGAAGTATTTTGGGTATGCTCAAAATACCCCCAAAAAAGTTTTCAAGGTCAAATTTAGATTAGGTCTCATGTGTATCTCGCGAGTTGGGGTTGGGATATATATAAAAATTGACCTGTCGTTTTGTCTTGTAAGCGTATTTCTCATACGTGTGAGATCACTCTCTTTTACTAGATCTTTACAATCTTAATAGAAATCAATTCAATATAAATAAAGAGTTATCTTCCTAATCAATGAGAGACTTTCTTTCTTTCTTTCACATAAGACACAAAAGTGAGAGAGCATAAGAGACTTGGTGGCCGTACTTGAACCTCCTTTCTTATCAATGGTATAAGCATTATTCTATTGTTTCTTGTTCTTTGGGTATCATGTGTGATTTTTGTTGTAATACTATTCATTCCTCTGTATGATGTGTAGTGCTCTCATTTTCACATCATTTTGTTGTTATTACTGTTCTTATTTCTATACACCCTTTTTCAAACTACTTGTTTATGCTCTATTTTAAGCTGAAGTTCTATTGTTAACAACATTTCCATCTCTATAAGGTGGGAGTAAGATCTGTATACACTCTACACTCTTCATATCCAACTTGTAGGATTACAAGCACTACCCTTAGAATGAGCCCTACCTAATGCAAATTCAGATTAATCAAACTCCAATGCGGATACCGGACCTCAGATTGGAGAACCCCCATAAAAAAATGATAAATTAACTTAATTTAGCAAAATTTAGAAAAGTGCATAGATATATTTTATATATTCCACCATAGGGCTTAAAGCTGCATTTAGTTCCTGTGGTCGTATCGCCATTCTGCCTTGACAACGTCTGGGGTTCGAATCTCATTTTCTGCATTTTTTCCCTTCTTCTTCTTCTTCACGATCATCTTCTGCAATTCTTCTTTAGATCCGTTAATTCTCACCCGTATTTTGCCCAATTTATCTACAAGTCCTTCAATTTCTATATAAAATACCATGGATCCAGATTTACCTCTTTCTTCTTCAAGCACTAGAAAGGTTTTTTTTTTTTTTTTTTTTTGACAAATTTCCAAATTTTGTTCCATTATCCTACAGATCTCTCTCTTCTGTTACTAAATTATTCATTTTTAAATCTTATTTTACAGGTGAAATTTGCTCCCAAAGGACCTCCCCGTCGGAAGAAGCAGAATCCTGCACAACCTAAAAAGTACTCTCCTTTTTTTCTTAGTTTTTTGGCATTTACAGTGTATTTTTTAGTACTGATTTTGTTAGTTTTTTTTTTGTTTTTTGCAGTGAAGCAGATGGAAATGAGGATAGGGATGATAATGAAGCTGCTGAAGCTATTCTGCGCAAAGTCAATGTAAATTCATCCTCCATTTTTCACTTTGTAGTTGTTATTGCTTGCTCCTATGTGTTTATACAGTTTTAGCACAATAATCAAGAGATGTTAATATAAAAAAAAATTCAAAAAGAGAGATATTAATAATTATTATGTTTATTTTGTTAACTTTTTGTTTATTTAGTTAGCTTCACTTTGTAGTGTATGTCAAAGCCATGTGCTTCATTATGGATTTCAAATATTTTCCTTTTATGTATATAATATATTATTTTGGAAAATATTTTTTCTCGGAAAACAAGTTATTACAATTTACAAGTGAGGAAAATGACATTCCTAGTGGAAGGAGAGAGAAAAGTTTCTCAAGTGACATTCCACAAATTAGTTGTGACCGTCCGGCCCTCCAACCCTTATCTTCACCCCTATCTGCCCCCACCTCTCATATTATTTATTTAGATTGTATGCTGTTAAGATAATATTATTTACTTACCTATTGAACATAAGAAATAAGAAAGAAATCCACCTATTTTTTTAAAAAAAATTTCCTTCATAGCAAATGCACCATGTGTCTCAATCTTAAAACTAATTGGAGTTGGCTATATCAATCCTCATATATCTACTTCACTCTATTGGGAACACAAACTCTTCCTACCTAAGATTTTGCATAGCTAGTCTCAAGCCCAAATAAGGGAAGAAGGTTGCAGTAGGATGATGGTAGTTATAAAAGTAGTTGTGTCCCTTTTAGGGACATCCAATGAAATTATTAAGTAGTTGTGTACAAAAATAATAGAGAAAATAAAGGTGTTTTTGAAATTCTTTTGGGTGGGGTGGGGTGGGGGGGTCATATGTATGGAAAGGGGAAGAAGAAGAAGAGGGAAAGGCTATAATGGGGATTCAAATCAAAATGAATGAAGTCTAGACTCTAGAGTAGAGTTAAAATGAATAAGTTGACATCATCCCAGAAAAAAATGATATAAACTGAAAACAACTAAGAAATGGGTGATTAAAGTGGAATCATAAGTGAATTTTATATGGCGCCTATTATTTGATTGAGGATATAAGTGAATGTATTTCTTGGTAATTGTGCTCATCCCATCCAAAAGGGTCTTTATGGATGACAAAAGATGAATAACAGAAGAAAGGATGCTTACTGAAACATTGCATCATTTAAGTAGTATTTCCATTACAAGTTAACAACTTTAGTCTCCTTATAGTAAGTTGACAAATGACAATAATTATATTTTTTACTACAATCATGACAACCCCTTAGTGACAATCCTGGGTCCGCTACTATTGACAACAATAACCATTCTCTTTTGTCTGATCAGGAGCGCTTGACTAGACAGAAACCTAAAACAGAGAAAAAAGGTAAGCTTTCTCTTCTCCTGGAATCACTAATGCTTCAGTTTAGTGTCACTCTTCAAGTTTTTATATGAGATGCATTGTGATCAATATGTTGAGTGTGCAAGTCTGGCCACACATATGCACCTTGACAGTTTATTCATCATACTATTAGTTATTGGCAGTTTTATCATTCTTTATTGTTTATGGTCATCGATGATTATTATTTTTTCTTATGAAAGTGCATTGACATTCAAATGAAAGCTGCAGTTGAGGTTGCGTTTACTCATGGAGTAGCATCACCAACTTCCACAAAGACTTTTGGAAAGTCTAGGGAACTCACTGTCAATCAGGATAGTACTCTGAAGGACAATGAATCTTGTGATAACATGGACATTGATTCTTTACCTACTTTACCTTCTAGTACTGGACCAGATCTTGCTGAAATGTCGGTCAATAATTCAGATTCTTTACTTAAAAGGAAGAAAGAGTATAAAGAACCTTGGGTAATGGTTTTTCCTGCCATCACGTCTCTTTAGGCACCACAATGCCTAAGCCGACATCCATTAATTGACCCTTTTGCTTCTTGATGTTTTGGCAGGATTACCATCATAGCAACTATCCTGTAACTCTTCCTCTGAGAAGACCATATGCTGGAGATCCAGGTATTTCTAAATAAACAGGAACTTTTTAAAGCAAAAATAATCTAACTCCCTTTCCCCTAACTGACTAGTTTGCTTTCCTGTGTGTTGCCCTAAAAGTATGTCAATCATTCAAATTTGAGCTTGTCCCTATAATTTCCATTTCATATTACCATATGAAACTAACTTTTTGTCATTTTACCATAAAGTGTGAATTTATCAAATTGTATATCCACTCCTAGATTTTTTTTTATAACCGAGAAATTCTCGAGTGCCAATGGCTCACAGTTCGAAACTCGATGAATATTGAGGCTGCCCCTCTACCTTTCTCCACTTAAAAACTAGTCTGCGGCAGGATTCAAACCCGTGATGTGTGCCTAGTCGACATATCATGCATTGTGTTCTTACCACTACCCTAAAGCCCTGGGCCTATCCACTTTTAGACCTTTCTCCACTTTGAATACAAGAAACTTCAGTTTTTGCTAATATCAGTGCCTGGTGTAGTACACTTATCTGCGACGTTGTCAGAAGTACTTCTCTTTTTAATACTGTGCTGGTGTCTTTCTCTATAATTTCCGACCATTTGCTGCAATTGGAAGAGCGTAGGTTAGTCCCTCTAGTCAATTGTCAGTTGCTTCTTGGCATGTGACTTGTTTGAGTCATTTATTTAGTGATGAATGATGATAAAGAAAGAAAATTATTGTGGTTTAAGATGCAGCAACTATTGCTTATTTAGTATGAATGATATTGTCTTAAAGAAGATGATATAACTCTCGTGTTCGTTTCTCATGTTTCATGCCATGATTTCGCATTATCATTTATTTGTTCCTATTTTTTCTGGCTTGTAGAAATTTTAAATGAAGCTGAATTTGGAGAGGCTGCAAAAAATGCTGTGTATGATGAAAATAATATAAATCCTGCTTCAGAGCTTGGCTTACTGGTTGGTATCTGCTCTATGCAGTAAATTCTGAATACAAAATCATATTCATAGAAAAAACAAGAAGTTCTTCCTTAGATTACTAATATGGATATTTGGTTAACAGGAAAAGAAGGATGATGTGCAGCTTCTTTTTCTTCAGCTTCCTGCTAATTTACCCCTAAGCAAGCTGCAAGCTAGCACAGGAGGTAGAGATACTGCTGTCTGCTTGACGTTGCCAGGGGATAAAAGTGATAAAGCTGCAACATTGTCATCACCTATGCTTAAGGGAAAAGAAGTTGCTGGCAGTGCTCTTGCCGGTGCAAAAGGGAAAGAGATAGCTGACAGCCCTACAATCTCCAGACGACATAATAATACTACAAACAAAGCGTGCAGTTTGCAAGAGTTGCCTGCGGGAAGCATGGGGAAAATGCTGGTTTACAAGAGTGGAGCAATTAAATTGAAGCTTGGAGACATTCTATATGATGTGAGTCACATATTTTCCTTGCTTTCAAGACAAACTAAAATTTTCAGTTTGATAATAAACTCTTCTTCTCAGTTTAAAGATATTACACTTCCGTAAGATGGTTAAACTATTAGGACTCCAGAGTGTTTACTGTGAACTGTCCATGAATGACCCGAACTTTAGCATTTCATCAGGCAAAGAATCAATTTATTTAGCAGAACAAGCATCACATCTTTTTCCATTTTCTTTCTTCCTTATTTCCACTGAGACTTATGGTTCAAACAATTCTTAGCTTCCCCTAGTGGTACAATGTTAGCCTTTTCTCGATAATGTTTGGTACTTCGGTTAATGAATCCTTTTCATCTACCTCGCGTTTGAAGTATGAGGTAGCAAAGTGATCTGTTAAATGTACGTGGAAAATAGACCTGCAGTTTTTCGCAAATACATTCGTCATAATGTTCAAGCATTTTTTTTGGTCTCAAGGATCTACTTATCCATATGCAGTAGCTTGCAATGTGTCTGTCAACATGAAACTCCTCTAACATCAAGAAATTACTTGCAGGTTTCTCCTGGTGTGGAATGCTCTTTTTCTCAAGATGTTGTTGCAATCAACACTGCTGAGAAGCAGTGTTGTCAACTGGGAGAACTCGGAAAACGGGCTGTTGTCACTCCTGATGTTGATTTCCTCCTGAACAATCTGATGTAGTTGAGCTAAGGTCACTTTAATTTGTCAATTTAGAGCAGGGTTTCTGTTGTTAGGGAAACATTTACTTCAATTTCTAGATTTAGAAGATCTTCTGATTTCCTGTATGGAAGATTTGTCTTTAATATCTTGTGCATATCTAAGAACCTTGTGTTGCTCAATAGATTTCCTTAAAGTCTCAGTTGCTAAATGAAAATTGTGTGAGAGATTTGCTTGTAAACTGCCCAAAACTATCAATAACCTTAACAATCCTTCATAGTACCATTGCTAGGACTCCTTGATCATCTCCAAACTTCCACTCCCCACTCATCTTGTCCCCATAGTGTTCTTTCATGATACAACAACATGTCCTGTAAAATCCCACTAAGTGGGGTCTGGAGAGGGTAGAGTGTACGTAAACCTTACTATTACCTCATGCAGGTAGAGAGTCTGTTTGACCTGGCTCTAGTTTTCATGCCATGACATGTTGCTAAATATATACTTCTTTTCAGTGTGTTTCTTCTTCTTAACGGTTGTAAGAAAAGGACCATTTCACATCAGCATCACTGCAGAAAGGAAGATGACTCGACACTTGCGAGGATTATATGTTATTAGGAGCGGTAAAATTAGCTATGAAATTATGACTAGCCGAGTTTGATTGGATTAATAACTCACTCATTCATTAACTAATCACATTTTTTAAGTCATTCAAATTTAATTCAACTCGTACATTTAACACTCTTGTACATGGTGTATTTGATATAGTTCATCACTATGTTGTTGTTGGAGAATTAGCTGTTTTAGCTTTCTTTGTAGTTTTGGCTTTGATTCAATGATTAGAGTTATAGGCTTCAAAATATGATTTGCGACAATTTTGACAATTTTAGAAGTCAAATGTTTTAGTTGTAAATGAAAAAACTTATTTAGAAATCCCCTATTCTTAAATTATCTATCTGAATCTCTAATAATAATTATTTTACTTTAAAAATTTAAGACAAAAATTAATTATTTTTTCCTTCGTTGTGAATTGTTCTTGAAGACTATAAATAAATATTTAATGAAGAAAGATTATATATTTAAGATACAAAGGAGTATAAAATAAGGGAAAATTACGTGTATAAGCAAACATATACTAGTTAATTACTTAATACAGCTATAGTTTGCCTTAATTACAATTCGCGATCTACTTTTAGCTATAATTACATAGCTCAACTATTTGTTTTGTATAATTCACACGTTTGTATAATTTGGAATTTGTATAACTTTTGTATAATTCAAAATTTGTATAATATAATTTGTATAAATGTTTACACTTTTGATGTTTGTAATTGTATAAATTTGTTATTTCGAGTTTATACAAAAATAATTGAATTATACAAATCCACGAATTATACAAACTAGACAGCTTAAACTTGTAGCCACAACCCGTAAATATGCAAACTATAGCTATAGAGCGTAATTAAGTTTATTATAGTGGCTATTTGCGAAAATTCCTCAAATCATAGTAGTTAGCTTGTGCGGAAACTATTTTCCGATGGTTGGCGGGTTAATTGTTGAAAATATTTCTTAATAAATATTAGAGATTAATTAATAATATGAAATTAAAAGTTACAATAATTATTTAGAAATTTACTTGTGATAATTATTTAGTAAAGGAAAAATTACGTGTATAAGCAAACATATACTAGTTAATTACTTAATACAGCTATAGTTTGCCTTAATTACAATTCGCGATCTACTTTTAGCTATAATTACATAGCTCAACTATTTGTTTTGTATAATTCACACGTTTGTATAATTTGGAATTTGTATAACTTTTGTATAATTCAAAATTTGTATAATATAATTTGTATAAATGTTTACACTTTTGATGTTTGTAATTGTATAAATTTGTTATTTCGAGTTTATACAAAAATAATTGAATTATACAAATCCACGAATTATACAAACTAGACAGCTTAAACTTGTAGCCACAACCCGTAAATATGCAAACTATAGCTATAGAGCGTAATTAAGTTTATTATAGTGGCTATTTGCGAAAATTCCTCAAATATATTTAAGCTAAGCCAAATGGGCCCTAAAACTAGATCACGCATTATATAACCTATTTTGTGCTTCCAATAAAATTTTCTCTATATCCAAAATTTGAACCCGAACTTTGATTTAAGCAATCCCACCACAATTCCTTCGAATAAACCCGGTTCAAGTCCACATTATTTAAAGTAAGAGCGGAAACAACCCAATTTTATTCATGTTCTTCTTCACTTGTTCGATCAATCGACGCCATAGATAGAGAAGAGAAATTTAGTTAAAGCAATGTCAAAATCAAGTGAAGAAGGTGACCGTCCAGCGAATCTATCTCACACATTCAAGTACTTGCTCGGTCAGTGCTTATCTTCTCAGTTTTTCTCTGTTCAATTTTATATTTTTCTTCATATAGTTTTTTGTTGAGTAGTGTGTTATACTTGTAGCTACTCAATTTTTATCAAGGGGAATACCGTTCATATTCAACACTTGGATCGTTCGACACCTAACTGAAGAAGATTATGCGGTAATCTTCTATTTTAATCCTTGTTCTATATCATTTCCGTTTTGCTTTTTTTTTTTTTTAGTAATTACGAGGTTTCGTGAATTGAATTGAGAATCACGAGGTTTTAGGTTCGAATTCCAACAAAGACAAAAACACTAGGTGATTTTTTCTCATTTGTCCCACCCTTAGTGAGCAGAGTTAGCTGATACTTGTTGTTGGTGGGTGGTTATAGGTGTGCGAAAGCTTTCCCGGACACTATAATTATCCTAAAAAAATAAATTACTTCTCAATAATTATCGTCTTTCTGTATGGTAAGTGATCCAATTAGAAGTTGTTTCAAAGATTTAAATGACAAATTAGTGAGCATTGGAGTGAAATGAACCCAAGAAAAGTTGAATTAATGTAGAGGATTCAGCTCCCAAGGTGTAGCATTAGCAACAACTACAACAAACCAACTAACCAAGTGTAATTGCACAGGCCTACCTTGTGAAGGCAGAGAGGATTTTTCCAATAGACCTTCAGCTCAAGTATGATATATCAAACTCAAGTATGACAAGAAAATATAGTAATGAAGAAATTATGCTAAAGATAAGAGATAGCAGTTAATGAATTTGGTGAACCCTGATCCTTGCTAGTTGATTTTGTTCTCATCTACTTAAGCTTTAGTAGACATAGTTACCCGATATCTGTGCTGGTGTGACGTACAAAGTATACGGTGGAATAGTCGGGGTGCTCAACGCTAATCTTAGCAAAAGAATGAATATAAAGGATTCATGTAATTGACCCCAAGTTTGTGATTGAGGCTATGTTGTTTTATTTGTTTAATGTATATGCATATAATTTTTTAAGAGCATATTTATCAATAAGTTGGTTTGCAGTTGTTTCGTCTCACTTGTTGTACTCTTCTTGGGGTGAGAATACAACATTTGGAAATATTACTATAGGTAATGATTATAAAAAAAATAATGGAAACTGTTTTTCATTTTGTGGTGTTTCATATTAAATTCGAATAGAATTTTGTGGGCTCTAACAGCCAGGTGATCAAAGCTGAACAAAAGAAAGTATGAATTGGTCATATATTAGAGTTGGTATTTCAGCTATATTCTAAAATACTGTCAGAGATTCCACATTGATTTTATTTTGGTATTACCACTACTACTTTTCTGTTAATTTGAATTATAAAAAGATAGCAACCTCTGCATCTCCATGGACAGAAAGAAAATAGGGATCTGTCAACTAAATTAGCTGGATTGAAGAGTGAGAAGAGCTCTCTCACCTGTTCTTTTGGAAGTTTTTTGTTGTTTCTTTTCCCTTGTCTAGTATAAACTTTTGTGGCTGACTGGTTGTAAACTAGACTCCACAATATTTACATGTACCAAATCGATTAGCCATTATTTCTTTGATTTTTGTGGTGATTTGAGTTCTAGAAGTTGTTTTATCAACTCAGCTGCTTTATTATACTTCTCAACCTGCTTTCTTGGTTTTATGTACAGGAAAATGTCTAACATCTTGTTGGTAAATCATGCAGTTGTATGCTGTACAATTTCACTTGTTCATTACTTGTGTGCTTTTTCTTAGTCGAGAGGGCTTCAGACGAGCATGCATGAGGGCAGACATTTATAGGTACTATTGGATATTTACTATGATGCTACATTTAGTTTTGTTGTTTGCATTTCATTTCCCAACTTCTTTTAGCTTCAATAGATAAAAATTATCAATCAGTGGAAATATGTCGCAACTGTCTCATTATTGAGATTAAGGAGTTCACTATTTATCTCATGTAGTAAGGATATTTTTCTTCAAGTTGTCATGGTCATAGTTAATAAGACGGGTTATACTTTTGTTGTGGCTGTTTTATGTGATTCACATCATACCTAATGATGCTTGTTATTTTTAACTTCTTTTAGGAACACATATTTATTTGTACTTATTAAAATAACTAGGCAGGTGTATCATCAAGGATTTTCATTTAATCTGCAAAGAGCTCAGAAGGTCTGTAAAATCATCCACTTTTGCATTTTCGGATTTTCCTAAATTCTCCACAAAATCCACTGCTTTTCTCAGCATCGACATAAAAATGTAAAAAGTTCTGTGTGGAGAAAGACTAATATTTTTTGTAACAACATGGATAAGTATGGGAAAATATTTTTAGAGGTTTTTGACCCAGACGAGAGCAGATAGGTTTGCTAAGGTTTTGAGTTCTCAGAACAAATATGCAAGGAAGGGAAAGAGGATACAATATTTTGGGAAACCAAATGTCAGTTTTTTGACCGTTTAGATGGATCTCCTAATATCAACTCCAAATAGCTCACAGATCCTAAAATTGAGCAAATAGAGGGTTTATTTCCCTGGTTTGACATGACCAGGGAAATGAAACCACACCGGGGAAATAAAAAAATTGCCCCCAAAAAAACCAGGTTTCTTTCCTTGGTTTGACATCATTCTCAAAAAAAAAGTTCATTCTCAAAATCTCCCTGGTTTGACATTGTGATGAGTACATGAAGGTTATTTTTCCTTCGGTTTCTGCCATATTATATACTGCTTTGTGAATTTCATTGCAAATATCTTATTTGGTTATGCGTTTAATGTTTAAGGATGTTACTGTGTTTAAATTGCAGTGGTGGATCATCAGGGAGAGGAAATGCAGCAAAACTCTTGAAAGTAGCATG